GTGAGCTCACATTAAATTATTTGTTGTTCAGCTTCATTTCGAAGAATCGCAGTTTGAACTGAAAAGAGCTGACGGAAGGAAGCTGCTAAAATGGAATGCGATTCCCACAATTTTTAATGTGCCCAATCCTCCTAAATCTATTACGATAAGGAGGCCTATTAGGGAAAGAAAACTTCCTGAAGAAAGAAAAACCAATGGTAAGATTATTTAATTGCTGAACTGTTCTCTTTTCATCTGAAATAAAGATGGCTGTTTTGTTTGAGTATTCTCGGTGTTTTATCCTGTAAATTGGCTGTTATTGAAAATCTTGTATGTTCAATTCCATCTGTTTTTGCGAGAAATGTTATATAGTATGAAAAAATATTTATTTTAACATGTTTTGACTTATAATATATTCTTTTATATAGCTCTAGTGGAGTCTTCCGTGAACCTTGCCGTGACAGAAAAAACAACTGAAGAAAATGATGAAAATACTTCAGATAAACTAAATGAAAAACTTCAGTTAGAAAACAAGAGACTACAACTGCAGGTAAATGTTTTATTTACATTTAAAACAATTTTAGACCTACTTTTATTTTGTAATGTGAAACATGGAATGATATCTTATATTATGAATCTGAATTCTGATGTTTGAGTAGAAAACTGACTATACTTTTATGTAATGAAAACAATAAAGAAATCAGAAAACATTAAATAATATTGCTGTTATACAGCTATAGTTAAACATACATAAGATAAGATTTCAAAGATACTATATACAGTATATATATCTATATATAATCTATTTTTTAAATTTTAGATACAAAAACTCACTCAAAGGCAAGAAGCAATGGAAAATGAATGGACCACTACTCTAAGTAAAGGTAATTTGGTTCATCCAACAAAGATTGCATTCAACATTGTTTGGGAAAGTGAAAAAACATTTAGAAAGCATATTAATTCATTCCTAAACAACAAAGACAATTTAAAGAAAAATCTGTTACAACTCACTTCAAGATTGGTAACTCAAGTGATACAAAATTCTTGTCAACACAATATCAAGGATTTGTTAATCTCAACTTTTCTGTCAGTGAGATTATATTTTTGCCAGAGATATGTACAGTACTTTAAGTGTAAAAAAACTGTATGGAAGCAAAAGTTCATTTATGCATACTTCTGCTGACCTCCAAAAATAGTGTTTTAATTATATATTTACTATGAAAATAATAAACTATGTGACATATCATCCTATTTTTATTTGACATTTGAAAATTAGTCTTCTGGATTAAAAATATTTTGTTTTTGAATATGCATAAGGAAACACAAAATATACTCCATTTGGAAGGGATGGAGTAAATATTAAATATTTGTCTATCTGTGTGGTTTTGATCTGAAATTATACTTTAAGTCATATAGAAAACTTATTTCTTTATCATATCTTCTCTTATTTCTCTTTTGAAATACATATCATCATAACTATAAAACACTTATCCATATTCTCTCAAAAAAATCAATGTGATACTTGGATAAAAGACATTGCAGGTGATTCTTATCATGATTATGTATGATCATGTTTTTTATATTGAACAAAAAAAAGTTGTAAAGTGAAGTTGAAAAATGTTTTCTCATTTGTCTCCATAAATAATTTCATTGTTTAAATTTTGAGTATTTATTTGTGATGTGACTTGGTGAAATTGCTTTTTATACAAGAATAAAGGATCATTTTATGTAATTTAGCATTTGTATCTTGTGTGTTTACAGAGAAAGAAGTTATGTCTCAGATAAGTTCTGTTAAAAATATCATTAAATTATGTTTAATATTATCCTTTTTGATTAAATTTTATGTAATTAGGAAAATATGACGTTTAAGCCTTTGTAAAGCCAAAAATGTTCATTAATTAAACGTTAGTCCAGTATTTATTTTTTAAATGCATTAAATTGGTAAATGCTTTAAAATAAAATTTTGGATAACTTCATTGTATATTCTTTATTATACTTTAAATTTCCTTTGATGTTATTGCATCACTTTACGAAGTGTCTACATACATAATTGCAACAGTTTTAGCACCTATTTAATTAGTTTCAATCACGACAGAAAATGATATAGATGATTGTTTCTTTTAAACTATTTGATCGAAAAGTTACATAAAATTGGGGTTGCGTAATCATCCAAAATCATTATTATATTTTCGACTGAAAATCGCTGGATTTATGCAATTTTAGTTTAATTAATGTCGTATAAAACTGACTGTTCGTATGAGTTTGCTTAAAACACGCGACTCAAAAAGCCCCAAAATGGCGGCTTAAGAAGCATGTCCCGACCTTCTTATATAGACCTTGTCATCTGGTGGTTGCTGCATGCTAAATGCAATTACTCCAGACATGCACATTTGCTTGAACAAGTTTGTTCACTTTGCTTGGAAGCGCATTCACTGCCACATAGGACGTACCCTAAGAGTTCTTGAAAGTATTCCTCATAAACTCACATAACCAGCAAACAAGCCAATTCCAGTACCAACAACTAGCATTTGCTCTGTTGTTGAAAATTCAAACAAGTGCAGACTTCTTGAAGAATTTTAAATCTATAATGAATCATTAACTTCAACCTCCTGTAATTCTCACGTTATTCTTGAATATTAGTTTAATATTATATGTCTACAGACGCGCTTCTTATTCCCTTTTTCATTAATTAGTTCTCAATTACTGTTATATTCTAGTTATTTTAGGACTTATCACACAAAGAGACTTGAGACCATTATTTTATTATAAACCTATCCAATCTATATATATAAAAACAAATATATGTCTGTCTGTGTGTCCTTCATGCATTACACCATTTATTCGATTGCCATGAAACCTTGGGAAGTTGTTTAATACACGCCCGCGAATGTTTCTGGCATAGTACATTTATCCTATGATAGATGGCGCGCATGTATACGAGCATTTCAGCACAGTTAGGAGTTGAAACTTAGGGTATGTCACGAGAACGCACACTAACAAGGGATTTTTCAAAATTCTCTCCCCCGCAGGGAAAGGGACAGGATTAAGGCTTCAACAATGGAAGTGTTAAGAATGGAAGTATTAAGAGAAAGCAATGTGCAAGATTTACAGGCGCAGATGCGGTTTTTTGTGTTAAATCGAATATAATTTTAGACCCATCTAAAAATTTTCTATTGATAATTAGTCTGGAAATAGGGGAACCTAATTCATGCATTCTGTGAAAATGAGTAAGATTGGCTGTAATGTAATAATCTTAATCTTCGCTATCGTTACTTTTTGCCCAACCAACGCCGAGCTTATCTGCTAGTATAATATATATCAATAGCATTCAACTTTGATAATTTTGGCACTTTTTGCTGAAATAAATCTAACTGAAGATGGTACAGCAAAATGTGCCAAAATACATTTAAGATGTCAGAGTCGAATGCTATATATTATATTGAATAGGTTTATAATAAAATAATGGTCTCAACTCTCTTTGTATGATAACTGGAATATAACAGTAATTGAGAACTAAGTGGTACTAGTTTGTTACTAACTACTGTACTCTGTAAAAGGCAAATTGGCAGCATTATGTCACCTTATTCTCATTGTTTTCATGAATTTTGCATGTTCTCCTGAGCTTAATCATCAGAAACTCATTCAATTCTTGAGTCCTCAATTCTTAAAGAATTTGATTCTGCCCCTGGTTAATTCCAAGAAAGACTTCATATCTGTATATGCCCTCATTTTGGAATTGTTTGTCATGCCAGTGGTGTTATATCTGGAGGTAATTTTATTTACTTGTCTGTAAGTGAAATCTTAATTTTCCATTTTATTCATGTCAAATTTTGTTCTTCATACCAAAAGAAAAATCTATTCCTTTTCTGTCACAGGTTTCTGACTTATAAAATTTAACACAGAAAATTGTGGTTCCAAAATTTTTTCTCATTTAGCCAGGTTTCTGTTTTAGACAGGTTTTACTGTATATGAAATTATCGATTTGCAATACCTTTCTTGTTTATTTGTGAAAGATCCTGGGCAATATCAATAGTTATATTCTTTCCATTACTAATAATTTTTTCTAATTCACTAAAAGTGGACAACTCATTACTTATCACAGAAAGTGAAGACATTATCTGAAAAAAATACAAACAAAATAAAAAGTAAATTATAAAAATCTAATAGAATTTAACTAAAATTTAATTTGTTTCATATATAAATTAAATATTAAAGGAAGTATATGCTTTATGAAGACATACACTTCCTTTATATAAAATTCAGCACATGGAGGAGATAAGTGATAACTATATTATATTTTATAACCTTTTCAAACTGTCAATGTAACATAGTATATTCATGATTATAATTTTTCATGAAACCATTTTTCTTAAAGTAAGAGTGTGACTATGCAGATGCAAATTTAGTAGTGAGCAAGAGGTTGTGAGTGATATAGTTCTCGCAAAGGAAAATATGCACAAGCGAGAAGCGAGAAATCTTGCCGGCATGAGCAAATTTCTGGTTCTCAGTTCTCACACATATCTGACAGGGTTTGATATTTATTGTGTCTTGCCTATTCTTGCCACATATTCTCGCTCACTGGCGTCTTCAAAGTCGCACCCTAATGTTTTACTTATGTATAAAAATAATATTGAATCTGTAACATTTAACCTAATAAGTTGGCATAATAATAGTATATTAAATTTTAAATTACATTAGTATATTAATCAACAGAACTCCACACCTTCAAATTTAACAGCAACAGTACCAATATCCATGACTACAATAACAAGAATCTGCTGGAATATTGTAATCATGAATATTATCATCAGTCATTTAATATTACCAGAATATGTCCCAAAACATACAGGTCAAAATATAATTATAAAACAAACAGGAACAGATGACTCCATGTATATTAGAAAGAGAAAAACTTGAAATTGTTAAAGTCTAAAGTATTTAGTATAAAGAATTTAATAATGTTTTACCTGTTTGAAAGTCAGTGCATTTGATTTTCAAGAAACATTACAAAATAAGAATTTAGTACTTTTGTTATTTTATTATGTTACCTTATCCAATGTACTTTTATTTTAGTTTTTAATCTTTAACTTTTACATATGTTGGCATTATTTTATGTTTGTTACAGTTTTCTTGTACATCTCAAATAATAATAGTTTAAAATATACCTGATAACTTATGGATTGTTTGTTTTTTAAAAAAAAAAGTAAATAGGCATTTTAAAGCTATCTTTTCACACTATCAACTTCTAAATATGGCTGATAAAATGATCAAATAAATGTTTTTGGGTAAAATTCAAGCTCTGAATGAGGAGTTTCATATCCTCCTCTAGAATTGTACACCTTCCCTATATAAGCAAAAAAGTTAAAGGAACCATACCTGTATGGTACATGAGACCCTTCACAAGATATTCGCCTCCAAAGGTAGGTTTTAACATGTATCAGTATACTGCCTATTCTCCATGCTCCGCATCGTCAAGGTTTGCTATCCACGCATTCTTTTATTCAGTAGTGTGCTGAGCAGTTGCTGCCGATGGTTGAAAACACTTTTGTTGGAGAAAAAGCTATCTCAAAATGGCTGATATCAACAATGATTTTCTTTCTGCTATATTTATGCACATATTAGAAGAAAATCCATTATGTTTGATGTTATTTATAAGAAAACAAGAAAATAATGATTTATTTATGGCATTGGCAATGACTGATTCCCAACAACGAAAAAAGCATGCAAAAATCATTGGTTACATTCACAATATCATACCGCACTATTCAAATGAAATCTTTAAAAGCCATTTTTGTATGTCACAATTAAAAATCCGCTCATTTAAAACAGCAAAAAACTGATTATTTGGTAGTCGAAAAAAATACTTTCTCATGGAGGTGTCCATCTTGTAAGCACTATTTTTAGCGTGGTTGCTTAATGTGTACTGAAAGCGCATATTAAGCACGCTGACAGTAGGCTTAATTAAACAAATACGCTAAAAGCACTGCAAGCACGCTGAATAAAAGAATGCGCTGTATCGCTCGCCTTGTAGTTGTGCGCTTTGGTGTTCAATATCGCTTGCACCTCAGTGCCTGGGTGGGGAGAGCCACCACACCTCCCTAAAATGATATAACATCACGTACTCCACAAACAGTCAAGTGGGCTACTCAAGAGTCCGCATGGCCGAATGGCCGAGCAGTCAAGGTGGCAGATTACCGCTCTGGGGGACCTGGGTTTGAATCCAAACGGGTCGAAAAATCCCCGGGGAATTTTTCGGGGGTGGTCCGTTTGGATATGTCAGTGTTTCTCAACAAGGGCCATATCACCCCCATGTGGGAGTTTTTCCATGTTCGGGGGCGATTAACAATAATTTATATTTTGGGGGCGAAAAATAATTTTCTGGACGATATAGTGAAACATTATATTAAGAATAATTAGATATTTTATTCGTTATATCGTACAATAATTAAAAAAAATAACATTATACTAGTCACTAGTCTATTCAATGCAGTACGAATTTGGCGTTAGCCTTGTCCCTCGGCATCGGAATTTTGTAGTGAAGGGGGTGATACTATGTAACGGTTTTATTGCAGGGGGCGACGATTCGTTAGAGGTTGAGAAACACTGGGATATGTCGAGCCCCGTCCCTCATCACCCGGCAGCCCCATTGTGGGCCTGGCTTGCAATAATAGGCCCTCTTAGTACCCACAGGGCGAAGTTTAAAAAAAAAAAAACTCGAGAGCCGGCAAACTCATATGGGCTAAATAGTTAAGCGTAATAGTCCAAACAGAGCTTAGCGCGATCTCGCGCTGATTTTTTGGGGGGTTGTAACTCACGAAGGGCCACTTGTAGAGGTATGGTTCCTTTTGACTGTATTTACTTCTATGAATATGCTCTACAGTTCTGATAAGGTCCCAACTGTCTCATTCAGAGCTTGAATTGAGCCCTTGAATCTTACCGTCAATTTTCCTCAATAGACAATTTCAGTTTGACAGACGACAATCACGCAAGTTGCCAGATGTTTATAGCTTTTGTAGCCAAAAATTTAATAAAAAGTAGCCCAAAAGTAGCCAACTGAAAGAGTTCTTTTTTAATAATGCAAGATTTGACGATAAAATATAAAAACATACCATTCGTGCTTTCTACCAATAACTTCAATCACAGAACAAATGTTTACGGCCAATTTACAGGCCTGAAGCTGGCCTGTAAACTGATCCGAAAATAAGAATCGCAAGACTCAAAATACACGCATAAACTGTAATTTACCAATATGTCGAGAAAGGTCACCAGTTGCCAAGCTGTTCTGTCTCCTAAAGAGTGGGAGTTTAGTCATGGGTTCGTGCCTCGCCTGGACGGGTTGGCCACGTACAGTTTTCCGGGTTTTCTCCACATCTGTAACATCTGAATAGGGACCAGTTACTTTTAAAAAACCTCTCGGAAGCAGTGGAGGATCTACATAGGGGTTTTTTTAAACTCTTTTCGTTTTGTAGGCACAAAGAGGGCCTCTTTTCAGCAGACCCATTATGGGTTCGGCCAGGCCTACAATGGGACGGTCGGACGGTAAGGGATGGGGGCCCGACATATCCGGACGGACCACCCCAGGAATCTTTTGGGGGGTGGTCCCCAAAAGATTCCTGGGGATTTTCGACCCGTTCGGATTCGATCCGGGGTTCCCCAGAGCGATAGGTTGCCACCTTAACCGCTCGGCCATTCGGCCTTCTACATAGGAACTAATAGGGCTTAAGCCCTGGACTCCCAAGTGTCAGGCGCTCTAAAACCCGAAAAACCTAGATCCGCCCCTGCTCGGAAGGCATTATTCTCCACTCCCCGCGTTTAAAACACAAATATATATTTACTAATTACGTCACATCGCAACTTATCAAGGGGCACCATAAAATAGAAACGTTGAAAAGAGGGGTTGTTTAATGTTGACGCCATTGAAATAATTGGCAAGCGCCAAATCCGACAAAGGGCGCTGGTTTTGAACCAAAAAAGGCTGCCGAAACAGGTAATGAACCGACCATGTTTCCGTCGATGTCGACTACTCAGTTTCCGTCGATGACGACTACTGCGAGGACCAAATGGAGAAAAAAAAATCACTGAATTTATGTCAAATTCTAGACTATATCGGCGACAGGAAACATTATCTTGTAGAAGGTGAAGCCGTTTTGGATGCTGAACACATCTTATTTTGTGGATTAAACTCTAACAACAACAACACTGAAGTTTATGTTGTTGCTTCAGTGTTGCAATCTCAGATATTGTCATTTTAATACATCTCAATTACAGGGAGAATGCACGTGCAAAGCGGGGCTGTCTGGCTTTTGTAAACATGTGATGGCATGTTTATTACAGTTAACAAATAAGAAGTGTTTAAATATTTTAAGCAGTATACACCATGTTCCAATATAAAAACATAGTTTTATTTATCATAATAATTGAAATTAGTACCAATCTGAAGGCTGCCCTGCTGAGTCATTCTGCACTTATACAACATAGGTCAGTCAAAATTTTGTAGCATACATTATGTTTGTGTGTGTGTGTTACTAGTGTTGTAACGAATAGTATATTCGGCCTCAGGCCGAATACCTAATATTCGGCCAGGAGCGTGGCCGAATAGCCGAATATTCGGCTAAACTATTCGGCTTGATTAACACACGTACGAAAATTGGCACGCAAACCGTATTATGGCAAAGATCCTGCTCTCTATTGGCTCGCTGTCACTACGCTTCGCCAATCGCGTTAATTCTTGACAGTTCAGATAAGAGCGTCATGGCAGTATGTGATAAGTGATTATATCAAATGTGGATAACAATGAAATGACCTACACGTGTAAATAACGGAAGAAGAACAGAGAAGGACCGCAAAGTGAAAATAAATATGAAATTGAGTTGATAACATAATCGAACAAGTGGATTAGCCTATGTTATCAAACCAATAAGCTGCCTCGAACAAGTCGAGGCAGCTTATTGGCGCGAAATTCGCGGCCGTCAATGCCAACAATTGTTGTCATAAACTTCGGAAAGCTAAATGCCTGTAATGAAAGTCACTTAGCGTGCACGGGCGAAAGCCTGGGGTCATTCGGGCTACCGAGCTGTTTCGAATCTGTGAAATCATAACTGTGACTTATACCGACGTC